CGATGTGTTCCCGAAAAAACTCGTCCATAGCCGTTGGGCAGCATGTCTGGTAAGATACACCCATTTCCTACCAAACAGGCTGCCCAACGCCCATTGAGTGGGAAAGCTGCCTGTAGATCGGCTCACAATATGATTTCAAGAGCAGTTAGTTTAACTTATGCTTGCTCCATTACTGGTGGACCGACTACTCTACAATGATCCATTCATTTTCAAGCAGAGCAGTGTCTTTCTACAGTCAAAGTGCGTAAGGAAGGGAAAAATTTATATTTGAAGAAGAACAAAAGAAGAAGCGTTCCAAAGGAAAATAGAAGAGTTCTTGATGCTTCCACTAGAACACTAAAGCAACGTTTCATACCGATGAGAAGCAAGCTGTGAGGAACTCGACGTTTCACTGTTCAAGTAGTACATTTTGAGCTACGTCAAATACGGCCACACATTAAAGGAATCCTTTCCGGAAAATTTTTGCATCTTTCCAACATGAATATGTCAGTTGTGATCACTAAAGACAACAAAGTTTCACGCATGAAGATTCAGTTTCCGAAGAGAAACAAACTACGAAAACCACACTCTATGGACGGTCGAAGGTATCTCCGCGGCGCTAAAGGCGGGGCATGGAAAGGAGTGCGCCTCGGAACTGCAATAAAGAAATCGGGTAAAAGCGTTAGATTTTGGAGAATAGAGACAAATCGATCGATAGAATAGGATGCAGTAGAAGTGTGAGATGGTGCAATAAGTCAAAAGGCCAAAAAGAGTTTCTAGTGACGGCACTCCGTGAACCAAGTGGAAGCAGTTCCCAGCATTTGTGACAGATGTCCGGCGGGAATTTGAACGCGTAGCAGTCTTTTCGTCCTTATCGTGACCGATAGGTCTCAAGCCTAGTGGCTTATGGGTGAGATAGAACCATGATTTATCCGCGAAGGATTCCTTTAACAAAAGGTGTGTCTGAGTAAGCTATCATCTTTGCAGACTCATCTTTAACACCTTGGAGCCCACGCAGCCCATATGTGGGCTGCAGTCCCACCGCATAGGACCTTTCAGCTCGCATTTCGTAAACAATTATTAGGTTTTTCATTCATTTTCTTTTCCATTTTATCCGATAAGATTTCTTCTGCATTATACAGTGGGTTCTTCTTTTGAATTTGCTAGATAAGATCCCTAAAAATTTCACCGAAGTCCCGCGCGGCCGCGGAACGTAAAACACGCGCGGTCTCCAAAGTGTTAAATGGGCATGCAAATTAAATTCTGCTTTACAGAAGTGAGCACTGTCCACAGACTCTGAACCATGTGGTCTACAGATACCAGTAGCACATTAGTTACCTACGAAACAATTGACACATAATGATTTGTAGGTTATAAGCACACAATGTAAATGTTTTTAGGATAAAAAATGAAATGATCGATCATGGATCAATCTTTCTACACTTTTAGTGTCATTTTAAAGCATAAAAGAGATGCCCTGCGCAATAAGCGGTGGATCATGCGATGTTGCGTGTTTTTATCACACTAGGCAAACCTGGGCGCCATCGCAACATATGGTAATGTGGTGACTATACGATAAAACCGCGCAAAACATCTCCTTTGTGTTGTAAAGCGACTAGGTTTGAAGGCGGAGGAGGGGCTCCAGGGTACATGAGCAATTTTAATTTCCGCGAAGTCCTGCCCTTCTTAGATTTAGTCCTAGAGGATGCCCCACATCTTGGGACAGCGCCCCGAATCTAGAAGCAACACCCCAGCAGAAGTCGTGTCGAAGAATCGATTCAGTGGGTGGGATAGAGTAGCCCACGAGTAGCACAGATGTGCCGTTGTCGCGGCTCGAAATGCGCGACAATGGCGCTAGGGTCTTACAAAGTCAGCATTTGGCGACTAATCTTAGCATTTGGACGAGTTACGTAGCGCACACCCCATGACACGCAACGTGGATTACGGCGTAGCGGCTAATTCAAATACGCGCGGGTTAGTTGAGCCGTGGAGCAGGCAAGTTCGTACAACTCGTCTGGCCCCGCCCCTTCCTTATTTCAGGGAATTTTTTGTTTAGGCTTCATCGACGGTTTCCTTTGCAGATTTTTTACATTTTTATCTTAGTCCGCGTCCACAACTTTATTGTTGACCGCTGTCATCCCCCCAATTCGACCTGGGGAGGGGTTGCTCTAATGTGCTGAATTCAAAGAAGGAGGTTTGGTTCGCTCAAGCGGTCAAAAACCATGGATGCTCTATCGGTACCTCTCGCTGCTACAGAGTAGGGAGGGTATGACTCACAGAACCGAAATACATTGGAAAGGGAAAGGAGTTTGCATTGAGTGAAGACAATCGTTCTGAAAAGTTGAAGCTTGACATTTTATTGTTTCTGTGGTTTTCGGATGAATTTCGCACCCATTCGGAATGTGAAATTGAGAATAAACTCCGAAAAAGAAGAAGAAAACCCCTTCCCTTGGATACTGTAAACATCAGGAAGATAGAAATGAAGAGGTTAGTGTACAGTGGTTTTACGTAGTCAAGTATGTGGATTCCAGCACAGATCGATTGGATTGAACAAACAACTTCAGTGAGACTGAGACTTTCCTTCAATTCCGCAACAAAACCATTCAAGCATCCAGCCGTACGGAAGAAAAATAAAAGAAAATGGGAAAAAAACTAACACGGAAGATCATCGCCTGGCTCTTCGTCGCTAACATCACTGTCGTCATCATGGGCTCGCTGTTCTTCGTCAAGTTCAGTGGCTGTGGCCGGAGGACGCCGTTCACTTTGAGGAACTGCCGCCTCTGCTTGCTGAGCATATACCTGGAAGAACAAGTGACCCAGATTGACGGGAAATATCTAAAATTTCGCTGAGAACAGAAAAGCCTTGAAATTTTCTGTGAAATAGGCGTACCTGTGACATGTACTGCTGATAGTGCTGTTCCTTGCAATTCACGGATCAGGGCAGCTTGCTGAAATAATCAGTACATAGACCAAATAAATGGTAGAACTCCCTTCATTCCTTCTGATGCTGCGAATACAACAGGATATCTCCTATACTCAAATAATACATTTACGATATTGATTAGTGCTTTGCTTCCCACCTCCTAGAAAAGATCTTGGTTTTCAGCAGTCCGAGACCAAAAACAATAGCTGTTTTGTGAGGATTGCTGAGTGGGCCACGAGCCCCCTGTACTGAGCAAGCAGGAACTCAACAGATGCTAGAAATCAAAACAAAATGTCGTATCCCTGCAGAACTATTATTTATTCACTCAAAGTACGACATAAGTAGAGTTGCGCTTTCTGAAACCTGCTGTTCCTGCGAAAGCAATGCTCGATGATCGGAGGAAGTTGGCGCAGCCAACTGCAACAGACGGCTTAAGTTAGTGGCTCTGTGTCATGCGACCTTCTGACCGAGAAGGACATCATGTTGTGACCGAGGGCGATGACGATCAGCTGTTGCTTTGGATCAGCGACGAAGCCGCACTTTACACCCCGACCGATTGCGGACAATCATCATCACAAGTCAGTCAGTCAGTCAGCCAGCCAGCCCTCCACGTCTTATCTCTGTTTGATCCCGAGCCGCGCGCCCGTATCCTCCATCATGCGCGGCGCTCCATCTGACCAACATAATTATCACTCTCGACCGCAATATTCATCCTATCACTACATAAGTACTGTAATAAATTGCTAGTGTTCTAGAGGCTAGTCATGAAAAATCCTAGTGAAGACACTTTCTACTTCATTATCCTTGCTCACTTATCCGTTTTTCACCACATAGCACATTGTTGGCCGAATTTCTCGCTACTGCTGTTGTTCAATGTCAAACTGCTCAGTTTTTTTTTACCTATTCAGTGAAAAGTATAAAAGCAGGGTGTTATTCATAAAGACGGCCCAAAGAAGGCGAAAACGCCGAAGCGTCAGCAACTGTTATTCGCAATCTCGGTTACAAGCTAAATTATTCTGACAATTATACATCCCATTTGGATTATTTGGGATGAGCCATGCATCTAACTCTCACTTAGAATCTTTGAACAATATTTGACTAAATCAAAATCGAAGAGGTTCAACCGATTCCCGACAAATCTTAGCGGCTCAGTAGGGGTTAACGATTTATGTAGAGCACTGCGATGAAGCTGATGGATGTCGAATCTGATGAGCTTATTTCGAAATAAAAGTCGGAACTTA